CTGGACATCTGATTTGGCCCGCTTGTTTAAGTGCTTTTGGCCGCATATTTGAGCTTTGCTTTATCGTACATTTGTAATGACTTCGATAATTCAGTACCATGGAACATTGCGGACCAATTATGTTTTTACTTCGGGATTCGTATCGGTTTCGGCTAGGCGTCACTGAAGTGCAAACAGACAGCATAGTGTTCAGTTGCTTCGGAAGTTGGTTTACTGCACCGTTGGTGACACCAATCCTGGTACAAATCACAACGGATTCCCTCAACTACCTCAGTTCAGTTCATTTCAGTTTACGCAGGACGATGTGTGGCCCGGGCCAATCTTGCGTCCAGATTAGTGTGTTGTTGGCTGTTCTTGTGACTTCCAACACTGCGAGTCAATTGGTTTCTTTATGAAAGGCAGAAAGTAAGGTGCAGTCTCACGTCCTGGGCAATGGCGCTCAGGACTAAAAGGTACTTACCATCAAACTGTTTCAGGGAAGGTAAAAGCCCAACAGTCATCTAGTGCCCTCTTGAAGGCAATGACGTTCGAGCAACTTACCACATTTTCAGGTAGACTATTCCAGTATGGTATTACGCGACTTGTAAAGAACTTGACTCGAATGTCCAGCCTTACAACGCTACGTTGCAGCCTTAAACTTTGTCCCATAGTGCCACTTGAGGGGATGAACTGGAACATGTCCTCAAGCTTAAGTCCGGAGGGACCGTTGATGATTTTAAAATCTTCTATGAGATCCCCTTTACTCTCCTTCTTGCCAGAGAGAACAGGTTAAGGTCCTTGAGTCTCTACTCGTAGCTCTTACCTCTTTGTCCCACCATCATCCTTGTAGCCAGGTGTTGCACTCTTTCTAGACATTCGATGTCTTTCCGAAAGTAGGGTGCTCATGACTGAACACAATATTCCAAGTAAGGTCTGACTATGGCTTTGTACAGAGGAACGAGAACCTCGGGTCTCCTACACGTAATCGTGGAGTGTACACAGAAGAGTTCCCCTTGAGCTATGTTGGCCGCCCTCTGACATTGTTGAGAGGGTTTGAAGTCGTAGGGTATAGTTACTCCCAGGTCCTCTCAAGCTGAATTTCATTCTGTATGTCAAGTTTAGCTTCTGCTGTTTGGTTTGCACCTTTTCCTCACGGTTCATTATCATTTGCAGGATATAACTGTTTATCGCATCTGTACAATGGCCGAGGAACGTCCATAAGTAGACGATAGTTAACTGGACCTATTGGCTATTAGCTTCAAGGCAGTAGATTTTATCCCTGAAGACCCTGAGTTGTGGTTTGCTGCGTTAGAAACGCAGTTTATCGCTCGTAATGTGCGGAGCCAGCGCTCCAAATACGTTGNCGTTGACGCGGTAGAGGCAATCCCTGGCGATCGAATGTCCGCCATTAGAGTATTATCCTTAAACCGCCGGAGAATGACGCGTATGACGTTTTGAAGCCTACTATCCTTCAGTTCTACACCCGCCCTAAGGATGAAAGGTTACGCCATTTGCTGGCTCGTCCCTCGATTGGTGACACGACGCCAAGCAGGCATCTGGCGCGTCTATGCTCATTAGCCGGCCCAGCAAATGCCCGCTCTGACATCGTCAGAAATCTGTGGCTTGAGTCGTTGCCACGTCACGTTCAACCGGCGGTAACGGCTCTGCTGGAGTACTCCTCAACCGACAAAGCTGCATCGATTGCCAATAAGATAGTTACGTGTGTCGGTAACGAGGATAATTTTCTGTTTGCCACGACATCGCAACCTTATAGAGGAAATAGGGCTAAATATGCGGTACGGCCTTCACAGCCACGACCACATTGCATACACCAGCGCTTGTTTTTCAAGGACAAAGTCTCGGTGCCTGCAGCGAACCCTTATAGGGCTAAGCCTAGGTTGGAACGGGCAGCACAGCCTGCACACGTTCGCCAGAAGGAACCAAAGGCTCAGAAGCCACCCCCGCGCAAACCAACCAAATCTTCGTATAACCTCGCCGAGGGTTACTGCCGGTTCCATTGTAGCTATGGACCAGAAGCTCGCAGTTGCAGGAAGTCCTGCACCT